GCCAGCGTTAAAGATAAATATCGAACCATTTCGGGATAATAGACAGTTAATGAACACGCGTGGTTGTAAGTCAGGATGAAAATTTTTACTTTATTATAAAGCGAGTAGTAGATTGTAATCGTTTGTGTATTGTATTTTTATTTTTACATATAAGGCCACCTTTATTTTTTGTCGAAAAAAAAATCGTATACAGTTAACTTTTTATAATGAACTGGCAGTTCTTATAGTGAAACGTAAATTTTTAATAAAAAAAAGTTCATTGTTCATTATAAAACGTTCGATATAGAGTTGACTGTTACATTGCATAGGGTTCGTCAAAATAAAATGATATCGGGAGGTCGGATTATCATGTGACTGCGCTCTCGATTGGTGGTTTGCCGAGAAAATAGGCCCCAAGTAGGCTCCAACGTACCCTTCGAAGGCATCTGACTAAGTTTAGTTATTGCTGGTCCATGCCATTACGCCAAAATTTTATTCGTGGCGATTGCTACTACGCTTTGTTTTATGGCCGTTGGTTTGTAATGTCGTCTGGTATTCGAGGGCCTCCCACAAATCATATTGATCTGTAGGAGAGGTGGTATGTCTTGGGAAATGTCGGCTAAAAAATATAATCCTTCAAAATCTCTAAATTATAACAATGCCAACTTGAAATATTCCCGTCAGAATCACTCATATCTGCCGATTTTTTATAATGAATGAATGCCTTCTTTTCGTCCTTAAAAACACATATACCCTCAACATAGCAAAGTCCAATATTAAATTGACCACTGGAATTTCCGTTTTCAGCGGATTTCAAATACAAATCGAATGTCTTTTTATATCTTTAGCAACGCCTATTCCGATTCGATAGCAATACCCAATATTAAGAAACTCCACCTTCTGCAGATTTCAATTAACATTCAAATGCTTTCGTTTTGTTCTTAGAAATGCCATACCATTTTTGATAGCAATTTCCAACACTATATTGTCCACAGATTTCAAATACCATTCGATCGCCTTCTTTTCATCTTTAGAAATAATGTCCCATTATTTATAAGGATCCAAAAAATATGGTTTTAGAGATAGCTCTTTAAAAAGAATCATAAACCGTCTACTACGACCCAAGAGGAATGTTCCATTTAAAGGAATCCTTCCAGGCATTATTAATTTCTTTAATTGATGGGTGTAGCAACAATATTTCTAAACATTGGTGTTACTGTCTGACGTCTTTTAGCATATTATACTTGTTCTGCCCTATTTATTCAATTCTTCAGTATTATAACCATTTTTGGAGGTGTTATATGTCGGGATGATATTAGAGATTAATTATTACATTATGAAATTCAGGAAAATTATGTTCACTTAATAATACGTTTAAAGAATTTTTGCTCCATCATCGATTCATTCACATATCTAAGTCCTTCAGCGTTCCACCGGTCGTAAAGTGAGAACCTTCGTCAATGCCTAGTGTCGTAGTGAAACACTATATGGAGTCCTGAGTCGAATTCACAAACGATCAGGTCTTATCCATCTTCACCTTACGACGATGACGACAACAAGATAGCCACTCAGTTTATTTATTAGTGTGTTTTTATTCAAAGCGAAATTTTTTATTATTTCGCTAGCGCTAGAGATTTTATCCTAATACGGGATTGTCTCCGGGTATAATATTATCCGAGTTACACACACTAGACTTTTAACAATCCCGTGACACGAGCTAGACCCGGGACTTCGTCCCTGAAGTTTCCAAAAACCCAATGCATTATACCCACCATTCATAACATCAGTAGGGGACCCAATCTGTCCAAAGAAATTGTAGTTTCAGAGATGATTTTTTCATCGCGTTAACCGGGTTATAATGAAAAAACTTTTCCAGTTGGTTAAAAGTGTTGGGATCGAGGTTGCAGACTGGTCCGGTTCAGTGTTTCGGCCTAAACCTCCCCCTAAAGTCCGAAACGTTTCGGAGGTTTCGCCCAGCCGAAAGTTTCGGTTTAGGCCGAAATACTGGTCCGGTCCCAATCGGTCCCATTAAGATTGTTGCCTTTTTTAATAGAATTTTTTTAAAGAGCTACTAATTAAACTTATTTACAGTCGCTTTTCAAGAAAGGTTACTTATTAAAGACAGTTTATCGGACTCTTCGAAAATTCATGATCTTAAAAATTCATTTTTTACTGCCGATTACCATCCCTAATAACATCCTAGCCTAGTACTTATCTAATTACATAAAATCAATACAACGTAATTAGCACTAAACATATACTAACACTAATTTTTTTTTTGGGGGGATGTTTCTTATTGTCCCAATGCTCCTTAAATATATCTCGCAGCAAATCGTCACAACATTTTCACGACCAAACGCCAAAGCTTGCACACATCAAGCCGACCTCCAAACAGTGCATGTTCCAATCCTTCGCAACCGATCATGCGATCAAGATATAAACGCCTGAAGATCCAAGTTTTCTTACATGATCCAATACATTCGATGCTTGCACTGGATTTACATTATCACAAGATTTTCTTAAATTTCTGCATCATCTTCGCTTGCTGTCATAATTATACCGATCAATATTGAAATCGTAGAACTGCCAAATTTGCGCTATGACTATGTCATCTTTTATGAGATTAGAATACTTTATACTGAAACGATCTAAATAGATAAATTTAAATGAATATAGCATAACTTGTATCGAATTTGTGCCTGCAAATGTGTAGGTATATGACTTACTCCAGGTAATTAGCTGATTAATCTATTCGAATGACTACTATTCTAGCCGAATATTTTTCGTGGCCAAATGTCACGTGAGTTGTTATGATAATCCGTATATAACACCGGATAACCAGTTATCTTACGTATATCCAATGGAAAGGAATTCATATTTCAGGTTTTTATGTTAAAATAAATTTGAATCTGCCATATGATTTTAATAATAACCTGTGGTAATTTTTTCTGCCAGTGTTACATGATATCCGCCGGACCAATATTACTAGTTTCGCTATATCACCAATTATCGATTTCACTATATCACCGATATTATAAGATCCACTATTTTATTAATCCAGATATATTAATTAAATTGCACCTTTGATTTATTAGTTTCACTAGTTTTCATCGACAAGCTTAGTCCACATAATGGTGCTATTCAAATCTGGTGCCGGTTTTTACTATCATTATTATTTTTGAATTTGAAGATTCGATTTAAACTTATACAGGAAATTTCGGTTTGGAATGCTAAAGTTTACCAATGAAACCATGACCATCCATTACTGTAAATAAAAATGCCTAATTAATAATTTTGCTGCTTAATCACGGTTCAGTTTCAATAAATCCCCCCTTGAAAAATAAATTCCCTGACAGCCATCCACAAACACAACACTCAAAATATATTGCAAAACGATAACTCTCTGAATTGAAATCTGTCTTTCAGCTCCAATTAAGATTTACGTCCTCCAAAATTTTTGAAGCATAATAAACGGTTCGTCTTCGGAAAGTCCAGTGATTGTAAATTCTTAAATTTTTAAAAAATATATCAATTTTCATAAACACAACATGCGATTATTCTCACTGTAACAATGGACCCTAGTTCCTCAACTAGTCTAACGGATGGATTTTAAGAAAAAATACATGGTCCTTCAAAATTCCAATCATGTCTTATTGTAGGCAATGGATAGAGATTGTACAAATTATCTATTCAATTTCTCCAATCCTTCCAGACATTGATCGATGGATAAAACAACAATACATATTTATTTTGAACTGGCTAACGGTTTTAAACACCGGGATTTCATCTCATTTTTTAGTCTTTCATGATCTATCTGCCCTTTATTTTCTACTATTTTGGTTAATACTTCATGAAATTCGAGGAAGTTACATCCACTTAATAAAACGTTTAGAGAGTTTTGTTCCGGCATCGATTCATGCACATATCTAAGTTCATCAACGCTCCACCGGCCAGAAAGTATAGGATCTTCATCGATACCTAGGGACTTTTCATCTTGGCACCAATTTTTGACAACGGTGTTCTGATTGCAATATAATTATCATTATTGTTTGTGCAACCATGCATCCTCTGACTTTGGTGTAAAAAACTGAAGGTCTTGGTGCCAACGCTAAAGAATGGTGTAAGTGCTAACTTATTAGTGCAGATGTTTAATTATAATATAAGCGACCTCTGTATGCAGATTGCATATAAATGGCCTTTTTGAAGAAGCACATCCATGAATTCATCATCCCATATTTGTGTGTTCGGCTGAGGTGATTTGAAAAGAGTTCCATTAAAATCAATTGAATATTCTCGTGGACGCGCAAAAAAAAAATCCATATTGTTGTTGTGAGAGTAGTTCTTACTTTAATTTATTACACATGATTTAATTGTTTAATATTTGGATTGTTTGATATTATTCAAATAAGTCAATGAGGTATTTGTGCAAAAATGCATTTTTCCAAGATCCCAGGTAGAAGCATTTTTTTTCGGGATTATGTTGGCTGTTTTTTTTTTTGAGAATTTCTTCATAAAGTTTTAATGCTTTGAGAAATTTG